CCACCACATGAAGATCCAGCATGCCACAGCGCGGTTTCCACTAGATCTTCATGAAAGCAAAAGCTTCACGTGCTGATGATGTATCCATCCCCCACGGGTCCTTAGAAAACCCTTCCCAAACAAAGGATTCTCCAGCAGGCAGTGAAATTATCATCTTGACTCCGCCTCGCACGAAAAGGACTTCGTTTGATCGCAAATTGAAAGATCTCGGTGTTCGTCTTTCCTGTGCGTGCTGGGAGATTGGATAGAGCTTGAAGGTTGTCACTCTATCCCCCGGGTTACCTGAGAGGGTTCGGAACACCGAGACTCCATCTCGGCAAGGGTGGGCGGCATTGATTCCCCAGCTGGTTGGGCGATCGGACGAGTGGACGATGACTGGGCCTTGGTGGAGAAGGAAGGCCGGCCTTCCGATCACTTCTTCGACCTTCCTGGTGAACTGCCATTATATTTAGTTCTGTACAATGACCACTGAACTGAAGAACACACTTCGCTACCCTGGAGTCCGAATCTCAAGAAGTTCTCGCATGCATCATGATCCCCTCTTCCATACATAATCGGCCCTGACACTTCGTTTGGTCGTGATCGGAGCGATCTCTCCACCTCCGTGGCCATATTCTCGGGCGGCGAGTCGGCTGGGAGCATGCTGTATCCCATATCCTCCATGGCCGAGTATCCCATTATGTCGTCATACGACATGGCTTGTGCGGATGTCATATCTGTGCAGCGATGGAGACTACCAAATGAGGCTTAGTTCAGTTTGGTAAAAAATGTAGGACGTGTTCCCAATATCAAGGAAAGATGAATATTGCCTATAACATTGTTTATCCAGGGGATATGTGTCTTTTATATTACTTCGACTGAGCGACCAGACTACGCGTGGTTGCTGCTAGCCTTCAACGGGAAAACGGAAGTGTAACGACGATGGGGTAACACGTCGTTTTCTTAGCACATATCGAATCAAAAGGTATCTATTGAGCGACGACCCAGGGCGAGCAAAATTCATCACGGATTATTGAATTGTAATCATTCCGGTATTGGTTTTAGGGAATATACATCCACTAGGCCCATTGCAAGGCTCACAGGCCCACCCAAAATGTAATGCCTAGTTACAATGCGAGCAATATGATTCCTCTATAAAGAATGGTATGATAATTTTATGAACAGGCTTAATGAACGGGAGCTTGCTGGCTTCATCAGAAAGAATACAAAAGCGTGCATTAGTATATGGCATTTAATGCAGGTATGAATAGCTGTCGTCTAAAACACTAACGCATACAATGTCTAAAGTGGCTCGAGGCGAAAGACATGACTGTCCAGTATCGATGATCATGGCCAGAACAGGTATCTTGCCCCTTTTCCGAACCTCACACTCAATCCTGGAGCGAAGTTAGATATTTATACTCGGAGAATAGCGTTTGGGTGGCTGAGGCATACATCGGTATTCGAGAATAAACGCTCCTCTTGCAGAGAATATGCTGCGTGCCGATAATGTAGAAAATATTTCCAGCGTACGTTTTAGTAAAGACTTGATCTCTTGGTCTTCCTTTCCTCCCTGGAGCCCTGCAGCGCCTCCGATGAGAGTATATGCTGATTGTTCAGCATAGTAGCTTCCGAGACCTCGCATATACCAAGCATATGATTTGAACTGCATGCTCTCAGCCAAAAGATTGAATGCTCGCAACGTAGCCTTTGCAAAAGCAATACATTTCAATGCAGATAATCTTATTTCTGGTGTCGTCTCCCCGTCTAGGTGTCGCTGAAGATAAGGCAAGAAGAGAAGATGAAGCAGATAGTTGATATAGCAGTGCAGTATAACATAGCCGCCTTGATGAGAGATTGACTGCGAACCAGGCCCACCGAGCTTGGTGTAAAGCTCGCTGCAGGCTTTCTCCATACGGTCTAGCTCAGTCTCAAGGACAGCGAGGGTACACTCTGACATCAAACCACGCTCTGCGCTCACACAGATCGTGTTTGATATCTCCAACAGTTGAGAATTCAACATGGTAAACGTCATCTGCGTGGGAGATAATTCTGCGGCACCTGTTGATAGGCTTGAATGTTCAGGATACTCTTTGCAGATATCAGTTAGTAGCTGTATACCTTGGGTGAGTTCTGGGTTGCGGTAGTAGTCGTGCATCTGAGCGTTGAGCATAAACAGGGCTTTCAGGCTAACCAGAATACATCGGTATTCCTCGCAAACATTGGGCTGGACCACACACTGCCCGGTATCCACATGACATTTGGTAGAAATTGCCGCATGGCAGGCCAGTTGCAGATCACTGAATACATCCTCTCCACGGTGTGTGCGACCATAGATTACGAGTACCATCGCTTTCAGTGAACTCCGTGATGTTTCAAATGGCGGGTGGTTGGTCAACAGACAGTGCCAGGCAGCTTCCTCGCACCGCCTCGACAGATTATCAGGGAAACAGCCTCTTCTAGAATCTTCTTCCGCACGGCAGGCTAGTGCTAGAATTGCAAAAAGCAAGGATAGCCAGGATTGCGGCGCGACATTAAGATTCCGGCAGAATTCCTCATACTGAGCTTCGAAGCTGGCGGCGTCGATGACACAAAATAGCTAGCGTGATGTTAGTGAACATATCTCGGCAGTTTTGATAGGCCAACTTTACCATGGAAATAGATGTAAAGTATCTTTCTATCAGGTGGTCAATCATGTCACGGTTTGGGAGGACGTCAAGGAGTTTCTCATATGAATTCACCTTGCCAGTGAATGATGCGTCAACAGCATTGTCGGAACTGCTGACATTTGGGCTTGGAGTTCCGCCCAGCTCCGACAGGGCAGTCAGGCTGCTGGTTTTGGAAAGGGGTGTGGTAACTCCCTTTGACTCATCGTGGCATGCTCGTCTCGTATCACGAGCAGCAAAAGTGGAGGTGTAGGATGACGGACTACTGTCGGACTCTTCACGGATGGGGCTCTCAGCCTGTTGGACTGGGACTTTCTCTAGAACTGCATTCCAGGATGACTCGGCGGGAATATCGGACTGACGTAGAGGTGTATGCAGTATCGTGGGTTTCGTGTGAACTGTTTTTGCAAACTCACACGTACTTTCAATTCCACGGAGAGTACATGATTCACACGGAGGTCCTTTGCCAGTGCAGCGGATTTTCCTGGCGCGGCACGGCAGGCAGGCAGATCTGGCCCTTGCCAGGTGCTTCTCGCTGCGCGAGTCAAGCTCAAATGTACATGTTCCATTTCCACGTAGAACGCATTCCTCACACGGCGGTCCTCCACTGCAAAGTGTGCTGTTCATGCGGCACGGGCGGCATGCATCAGTTTGAAACCTTGCCTGCTGTGCAACACGCTTTCCGCTAACTGCAGTGAGGACAAATTCACAAGACTCTTTCCCCCGTTCAGAACAGTTCTGACAAGGAGGTCCCCCAGCGCAGCGTTTCCTAGTAGTGCGACAAGTTTTGCATGCTGTACTAGTTCGAGCTGCCATAGTACACTGAGATTGCTGACTCCTCGAGCTCTTGGAATAGAAAGGTCATTTGAATAAAAATGAAGGTTCTTGTAATGCTGGTCTGGCGATTGGTGACTTTATAATTGACAGGAGACGTCGGGACTTTCAGACTTACCTCAGTGGAGTAGGACGGCTGACCTTGAACCCAGTTATAGCCTCTCCGCTTCTTCCGTCCAACATGATCGTTGGTTAATCCGTCATCTAGAGTACGTTCTAGACATGGTGTATACTCACCCCTGCTGTCGAACCGAGCAACCTATTATTATGTTGTAATAATGTCTTGCCGAAAGGAGAGTATCTGCTTTGTAGCTGAACTTCTATAAACGCCGAAAAGGCATGCTAAGTAGAGATCTATCCCGACAGAGTGTAAGGTCTCGATTACCATCTCGAAAGTGTTCTAAATAAGGCTGGAAATCAATGGCCAGATTGTTGCAAGGGAGTGGTAAAAGGAATGATATTGCGTCACATTGATGGGTGACTTCGAGCCCGGTAGCCCAAGTTCATAGCCAAAAGAAAAAAAATCCTAATGCGCACAATCACTCAAGTGGCTCGAAATAGTTCCTAGAGATCCGTTCCCAAACAGAATTTACCAGCCCCTGGGTCATGACAATGACAACCAACAACAGTCGTGACCCACAAATGGCGAAGCTGAGGATCAGGCGCCAGCAATATTTCCAATTTCCAATCAAACCTGCTTTACAAATTTGACACAGTAATTGGACCTTGACTTGTAGCGTGTACTGGCTATCTGGGTGATCAGCCTGCCAAATCATTATTCGACCAGGTGTCGTCGTCTCCAGCAGAGTGAAAGGAACCAAAGCGGAAGTATTGCCATATAGGACAGGGCATAGAGGCAGTAGTCCTTTTTGAGTTTTGCTGCCAACTCGAAGGCCTTCGGTTCCGGATAGTGGCTTCCACTCTGAATTCCTCCAATGCCGCAGTGTGTGACAAACCACACACCAAAAATACCCTCCGTGGTCGAGAAGAAATGCGCACCCGAATATGGAGCTTTTCATCTCGTCGAGGAGGAGTTCTAGCTTCCACCCCGTTGCTCCTATTGTCACGGCTTTTTCATCTTGCTCCCGGATGTGCAACATATCACAGGGCTGGTCAATTGGTTAGTAATTTTCCGCAACACGGAAAGCGAAGCTCACTTCTAATTTCAAGACCATGAGGTATGTAATTGCTGCGGAGAGGATTATCTCCATTTTGAGCCCCAAAATAATTCAGGTCAGATGCCAGTAAATATCTTCGCCTCTTGGAACGTAATCTTCTCCAGAGAATGGAAAGCATTTATATCCTTGCATGTCATGGTACGGTATATAAAGACACAAATCAATTGGCAGCCTTCTCCTTATGCCGTACCACGAGCCTTTAGACTCCCATTCGTCGATCTCAGACAACATCAAATTGCCTTTTTTCTCAGATGAAAGATCAGGGCCGTCATCGCAAGGCTTATGGTAAGGATTTTCCCTGGTGCAACATCGTCCAAATTTACGGCATATTTGCCGAGCTTACCTGCTTTTTCATTGTTTCCGGGGTTTGCTATTTAGGGAGCGGAAATTAAAAAGTGTAGAGATAAAGCAATCGACGATGAAAAATGCCTTTCTCGAAAAACCGAGTATAGGCCTAGCGGAAATTGATACCTAAAGCAGTATATCTTGAATATAAAGCACTGGAGTGTGTTCCACTGAGCTCGGGTTTGAATTTGGATATAATGCAGTCCATTTTTTCTAATACGATCAGTCTATTTCCGTCCACGTCAAAATTCTGAACACTGGTTATGCGAATAATTTTAACCCGGAACAAAAAGAAATGCTTCCCCTTAGATGATGTGTTGTGAGTAATGAACAGTGAATAGACTCAAAGGTACGTTTCTAAGACTCGATCGAGAAAGTCTAAATACAAATTGGTGAAAGAGTGTCCTCACATGTCTCTTCTAGCCATGCCAACGCCCACGACTTCAGATTACGCGCTGGGATGAATGTTCTGCCCTGAAGCATCCCGAGGTTTAGCTCAACCTTCTCGTATGATATTCTTGTGATAGATTAGCAAGATCCAAGCTCAGCACAAAAAAAAAAAAATACTTACACCCGAGAATTCATTCCACATCGATCTTCAGGGCCCCAGATGATTGTAATCAAGCCTCTGATAAAAATACCGCATCTGCGAGAAGGACCTGCGGCGTGACCGTAACCCAGTCGTCGTAGTTTCCCACAATGCTTGAATAGAAGTCATCCCAATCAGACTGAGTATTTCTATCTAGAGCTAGAAGCAGTGTTGGTTTAAGCTCGGGATTGGCCGCAATAATTTGTTTCGCCAAAGACATGCAATCTTCGAGGTCTGTATCTTCAAAAGTCTTGGAGACCGATTCGACATCTTCGAACAATGACTTCTTGACAAGCTTGAAAATATGCTTTGCCTTAGCTGATGGGTCATCGGGCAGCGTAGGTTCTTCATTTGTCTTGAGGTGATCCATCGTATAGTTCTTAACGTGAATTAAGGCAAGTCTGCCACGCAAAGTATGGTTAAGTATAGTTGAAAGAGAGAAAAAATATTGGTCCGGCCGTGGTTTATATATTTTTTGCTATGTCCCATTCATGTACTCAGACAGACAGATATCTATTAATGGCGGCGAACAGAAATGGCTAAAGAAATTTATGCAGGGTCTCTGTTACGTGTTACGGTAATTGCACTATCCAGCGATAATGGGGCCTATCCGTGATTTTCCATATTCGAGACCGGTTACTTGGAACCTTGCATTAGATCGCAGGGATTCCGTACATGTGCGTACTAATTGAACGACGGGGTGATTAAAAAATTAACTAGCAGATTGTATTGAAGGCGTCTCATACCATCAGGGGCTAGTATTAGCGTGTTGCAACCCGGGTTTCCCGAAACGACTAGATTTACCATACAAAGGGATATGGAGGAGCGGGCAGTCGTTGAATTAGTTGGACGAACTCTGATTTGTACTTGAGATATCTATGTGCAATTGGCTGGTTTCTCTGGGTCTTGCTGTTGAATGCTGCAGACCTCCGGACTTTTGCTAGTGCCACGACACTAGGATTGTACTTCAAGTTCTCGAACGCAAAGATGAAAGAAAGTAATGTGTACCCGAATTCCTATCATCAGAAGTAGACCGGCCTCAAGTTTAATCGCCGCCGGTAATTCTAAGGACCAGCCGGTTGTAGGTCGGTGGACTCTAGTTTCGCCACATTCTTGACTGCCATCACCGGCTCTTCATTGCACTGCAAGAAATACTCTTGCAGTGTAGCAGGTGACAAGGCCAAATGAGAAATGACATTGGAAAACTGACTGGCCAACTGATCAAGCGTCTCGGGGACGTTCAGGTGCAAGTATCTTATATTTCGCAACAGACCCCGGGATACTCCCTTGGGAGCGGATAAATATGATACATGTAGTCCCACCCTAGAATAACTCCAACATTATCAGAAGGGGACGTGCTGGAAGTTCAGTAAACTGACTTAAGACAGAGAAGCATATTCAAGGCCAATCTTGTTTCCAACGTGTTTACCATTTAAGGGTCGGTGTATCTCGCTCCCACATCAATAATCCTGCCGTTGACAAGTCGAATGTTTGGAGGGATGCAAGGGAGCACAATGATTTCGCTGTCCGTGTTGCCGTCTGATTGCGTAGAGTTCGTTTGAAATCTGTTTTCTTAGAGGTTGCAGAGTGAGAAGACAATATCAGAAGTTCCGCACTTTGCAGGAAAGGCTCACTATAACAGTCTCTGATTGGGCTAATTTTCAACGCGTCGCCCTTGTCCGTTGGCTTTGGGTTGCGAACTGGTAAAGGCCTCTCCAGGCTAGTTGCAGGTTTGGTATTTTCCGGCTCATATACCGCAGGTTCAGTCAGCCTATAGGAGCTAGCGGCATTTGGAATGGTTTGCTCTAGGTCCTCGTCTATTTTCTGCTCGTTTTTCGATCCCCAAAATATCTGCATGCAGTTTGGTAGAAGCAATCGAAGCGAGATAGAAGGCAAGCACTCCATGTTGTCTCATATAGACGAGTATGTGGTAGCAGCATCAATGGAGAGGTTTCGAACTTAAGCTGGTGTTTCTTATTCAGACAAGGAGACTATAGACTGACCTATTTATACAGTCTAAGGTGGCCACCGATCGCCCTTGTCATTGAACCAAAGCAAGTACCAGCAACTCTCGCTAGGAATGATGGTGTGCTTGTCGTGGTCTGGGTGCATGGTCGTCAGAATCGTCTCGTACACGGAGTATGGCCGAGATCGCCAACTTTCTATGTTAAGCAAGAACGATCTGTCTAGACGGGGGCAACGACGTTGACATCCTAGGGCTCCCTCATGCCAGGCTGCATGGCCATGGGACAAGGCCCAGCCTGAGGGTATTATGGATGTCTGGGTCTAAGATATGGCCGATCGGCGAAGCCGAGGATTGTATGGCTATCAATTGCTCCCGGCAAGAAGCTATATCTGGCTAGCGGGTGGTGATTCAAACCTATACCAGCCTGGAGCGTCAATATTTTGCGTACCAGGGTCGAGTATGGGGATGATCGCCGAAGTTGCGGATCTGAATGGCTATCAATTACCCTCGAGAAGGTGCCACGTTAGTGGTTTTCGTGCTATCACCAATGATCCCCGAGAATATCGTGCAAAGGCTATCTAGCAGCCTTCAAGGCCCAAAGCGCGGCTCACTGGAATCAAAAATAGTGGCTCTCGTTTCATCGAAGGGTTCCGTGGAGGCTGTACACTTGTGGGGAAGACATCGAAAGGTATAATTCAGATTGTTGCTTGTTGACAAAGCCAAGACTAAAGAGAACTATGTGATACACCCTTGCTAACACGTGTTACCTAGGGCAGATTGTGTAGGATGATATCCCGTACGCGTTCCGGCAGGGATACATGGTTCGAGATAGGTAGAGCACTGAGCCACGAAGCTGCCATTCTGATTGAGAACGCCCTGCAATGTTAGTTGATTTCGGGTGTATGAGTGAACAAACTTTGTGCTTACAGAAAAGAAGGGCCTCTTGATATACCCTGGGTTCTGCATGATAAATCACTACGTCAGTCATTAAGCCTATAAAAAAAAAGGAATAGACGACCCACCCATATACGACAAGCTTCAGCGCTCCGATGCGCGGATCATCCTGGATATTACTGATAACCAGCGGATCCTGCAATATAGCAGGAATGAAACTACTACCTAGGGGAGTGAGGGACCCTTCCCGAAACTCCACCCCAGTGGTAGTCTCTTCGTCTCTTACGCTGGCGTCAGATAAATAGGTTGTGGCGCTAAAGGGGTGAGACTCACAGTGGTACGCCTTCTGTAGAGTATTCTTGCCAACAAATGAAGAAAGCACAGTTTAGGTTGGCCATTGGGACGTGAGAAAAGAATAGATTAAATTCTGGATTAACATCGATGATTTCAATGTTGAAGAATGAAGATGAGGACATTCTGGCAAGAATTTTGCTAAATCGTAGGGCTCGAGGAAGAGGACTTATAGAGCAAATGAAAATAGAGTTGTTTGTGAACTATAGGTGTAGTGCGAGAAGGAATATATATATTCAAGCTTTCGGTAGACGACAGGTCTAGGCAACGCCGCGAGATTGCCGTTTAATTGATCTAAGGTGATTGGAATTAATTCTTTTTCCCTCAAAATCATTTATGTACAATACCCGCTGACAGAATAGGTTGTTGATTATTTTAGTGCTTCACCCGTGATAACCAGCCGCTGGATTGCAAACTGGTAGCGGCCTTTTGAGGGTTTAGTATTTTCCGGCTCATTTACGGCAGGTTCAGTCAGCCTATAGGGGCTGGCAGCAATGGGGGTCACTTGCTCTAGGTCCTCATTTATTTTTTGCTCGAATTTTGGTCCCAAAAATGCTTGCACGTAGCTTGGTAGAAGCAATCGAAGGAAGGTAGAAGACAAGCACTATATTACCCGGTCTCAGTTATGGCACTAGTCTAATGCTAGCGCTGATGACTTGGCATTTTGATGCTTCATCTTCTAAAGCATCACAGGGCTTGATTATTTTTTTGAGACGGCCTTATAATACTGTAGCGAAGTGAAGAGAATACTCCAGGATCACGGGGCATGATGCGTGAAACGGGCTCTCCAAACTTCGACTTTTTGCTTGTCCTGAATTGAGCCCCACCTAGTGATCAGTGCAAGTGAAAAATGAAATGAATTATATCTGATTTGCTCAACAGTAACCGAGCTTTCTGAGGCGGTTACAAATATCTTCGAGACGTTCCTCATGCCAGTCCTTTAGGATGTTGTGGATCTCATATCCGGAAGTTCTTGCAAGATTGCACCTTTTTGCATATTCCTGCGGGTATTTGGAATGCAGGTGCTGGTAACAAAGAGCTCTCTTTGAGTCGAGATCTTCTGCCGGCTGTTGCAAAACCATCGGATCATCGCTGCTCAGAGGAACGAATTTTGTAATCTCATACTTCTCGAAGACCCGTGAAATACCAATCTCAAGCACCGCAAGATCCACTAGGGATGCTTCCTTCGTGATGCCATGGTCATCCTGGGTTTGATGCTGAGCGCCAAGCTCTTGAAGATCAATAGCATCGAGAACCACATCCTCGAGGCCCTTTTGTTTGATGTCTTCCATGATTTGAACTTTATTTCGAGGAAACCAAATGCGCACGGTCTTGTTTGGTTAGAGCTCTGTAGCAATGAGGAGGTAAGGATAACCCACGTGCAAGCGAATTGGGGGCGAGTTTCTGGCAAAAACACCACAGCCTGAACCAGCAGAAATGCTAGGCTGTTCTTTCGGCATATCTCCTTTTAAAAATTCATTGAACGAATTTCGGTTGGGGTCTGGACCTCCGAACAGAACTGTCTCGCGCGAGCTTCTTGGAGAGAAGAGTCGGGGCATACAATCTGTAAGCAAACAACGAAGTTTCTGTATGCTCAAACATACCATAGTGCGACTGTTGCTAAGGCTCCAACTTGGGAACAGCAGTGTCTTTATATCATGATCACAGTTTTGTCAATTTTTCCCATAAGGCAATAGTTGCAAATCAATCAGCAACAGACAGCCGAAGTAAGGCATGGTTTCAAAGAGCCTTGCAAATTTCCAGCGATTTGAGAAAACATACGCCCAGAATAGTCAAAATCAATCGTATCAAAATTCAAGTGTTGCTTCCTGAGTAAAACATGTTTGTCTATTTGCTGCCCAATATTCTTACTGAAGTTATAGTAGTCACGTGATGGTGCCTGTCGGAGGGGTCAGCAAACCCCGCCATTTACCTTTCTTCATCCCACCCTGTCTTCCTCTCGCCTCGCTCGAGCTTCAGATTCTCCTACTACACCAAGTTATCCGAGGACAAAATTGTGGGTTCGCGTCCAATGTGCGAAAATACGATGTCGCAACCGACGCCAGACAAAACACATCTCTGGGAGGATGATCTGACAGAGAGTGCGGACAAAGAACGCAAGAGTTTCGCGGAATGGGCTTCTTCTGTTTCGTTCAAGCAACAAGCGGAGGATTTTGAGATTTATGATTCGAACGATTTAAGCACCAGAGTTGAGCCTTTTCTTCGAGAGCTGGGATTACTTGGCAAGGTAGACTGCTTTCTCAAAGTTAGAGAACAAGGCTAATAGAACTAGGCATTCTCATTGGTACAAATACCCGGACCCAAGTTCGCCCCATTTCGGCATGGTGCAGGCGACGCATACATAATTCCAGTACAAATACTGGACGGTACTCCGACCGTTTCAGGAAAGCCCCTCCAAGAAGGCAAAATAATATACATGAAGGCAAAACAGGAAGTAAGAATCGAAGCCAAAGTGCGCTTGCTCTTTGTATTGCTATGAAACAGATTGCTATTCATCGGGAATTGTTGTTTCAGGGTGGGACGTTGGATTGCAACTCCCCACGGCCATGGCGTGGATGGGAACCGCGGTGGACGGTGTAACTGGGATCCAGACTGACGTTATCATCGGAATGGTGGAGCCTTCACCCCTTGGGAATGTCGAAATGAAGGCTAGATCATGCGCGTGGTATTTGAATCCAAAGGGAGATGAGAAAGCGTATTTTGTATATCAAATTGAAATTCCGAATGTTGTGCCGATCCGAACAAAGAATTGGGTGTTGTCCTGGCCGGGTTTGTGGAAATCGAAGCGAGCTCGTGGGGAATAATATCTGGAAATGAGAGTCCAGTGTAATCGTGTGTAACATGATTTGGAACCGTGGAGAATTCAGCCAATTCGTGAGTAGCTGTACTCTGAGTTGATACGGGGGCTGGATCATCGAACCGGACTGCGGGAAATGAGGCATGTTGCTTTAGGGCATCGTGGCCATTTTGAGGAACGGTTGAGAATGAGGAGAGTTCGTGAGGGCTCATCCTTGGAAAGACCGTGCCATTAGATTGGAAGCTCTGTGCATGGGCTTCCGAGGAACGAGCGTTATTCTGGTCAGAAGAATAGGTGTCTGCCTCCACAGCAGTCAAAAGAGGTTGTGTGTGATTGTTTTGAGCTTGAACATTCTGCATAGGTCTCCCTGGATTTCGGGAAATCAATTGGAAGTCAGAACTTATGTGCTTGAACCACACCGAGATGTCCTTGGCTGCGTCCTCGAATACTATTTCTTTTTCTCCCAGCAGAAGCGCAATGATTTGTGGCAAATCTGAGAGCTTCAAGCATTGAAATTGACCGTATTCAAATATCGTGACCATCGCGACTACTCCCTGGACTGCTGGGTGACCTTCGTGATCCTTAAATGCATCACTCGTGAGTCTCTCAAATAACAATTGGTTAACACCCCTGCTGATTCCTTTTTTCAGCACGTTGTGATCTGATTTCGGATAGCCATAATCTCTGATATACCGGATTATCTTGCCGGACCGTTTGTTTCCGATATGTTGGTATTTGGAATTAGTGGAAGCTTGTTGGAGGTTGTCATATAACTCGTCGACCTTGGCCTTCCATCCCCGTTTGCGCTCCCATGCGGTGAATTGTTGAGCGAGTGAAATCTGACTCAGACCTTTCAGAAGCTTTTGCTCATTGCTTGGAGTTTTGTTGCCATCAACCTGCTTCAGATGGTCGACTCTCTTATCCCGATATTGAGTTTCTTGCTCGTCTTGTAAGATCTCAGACAGAGATACTTGTTCCTTAGAGAACTCCAAAATATGAGAAAGGTTTTGCTTTACCCTCTGCAATAGTTGAACCGAACGACTGTTTTCAAGTGTGTCCCTCTTTCGCTTCCGGGAAATGTCGTGACTGGGTGGGATGGCAGAGGTAATAACGGGACGCTGAAAATTTAACGGGTTCTGAGCATCAGTATGCTGTAATGGACGATCTGTTGTTGAGGACAGGTGGCTGATTTCAGCATCGGGGATGGTCTCTGGCGGCGAATGGGCCACTCCGCATTCAACAGCGTTAACGAGAGTATCGATATTCGCTGAAGTGTCAAGAATCTTCACAATATGCCTTATCGTTTTGGTCGCCAGCTCACGGTGATTCTGAATGATTTCACTGGGGGTATTGCACAGAAGGCTGAAAGCTGATAGAACTTCGATTTCTTGTGAAGGCATGATTTAGATTTATTGAGGGTTCCTCTTGAACTCGATGGGGCGGGCCGGATGATCCAGAAATAAGGGTTCAAAGCGGGGAAGGCAGAATCGGTACGTCTGGAGACTGACCACTTGTAGCGTAGCTTCTGGGCCGTACGGCCCAGAAGCTACGCTACAAGTGGTCAGTCTCCCCTTTGCCGATCCTCCCCCCACCGGCTAGACCGTAGCGCAGTGCAGTATTGGGACTGGCGCTTGCCTAATCGAAATCCTCAAGGCGGGCGCTCCTCAGTTGCCTAGGCTTCCACGGCGTCGTTGGATCACCATAATAATCCGCGGAATGGTTATGCTCACATTAGTTCATATGCAGCCCAAAAAAATCTGATATAGATTGCTACTTTTCGGTTTGTTGTCGACATCCGTCACATTCTCGAGCTGCGACGATCCCAAGTAACGCGTCTACGGCGCATCCGTAGATGGACCTTTAGGTAAAAAAAGGAGACCTGCACAGGAGCTCACAGCTGGTTTTAAATAGATGTCTGGGATTAACATCGACGGGGACGGTATTTTCTGCCGAAATCCAAATATTAAGCACTACAAACGAGGAAGAGATCGTGTATAGCAGTCTCCCATTGAACTAGACTTTGCTTCACATCTTTGACGCCTCTTTCATGAAATAAATTTCTTATCACAGGTCTTTCAATTCGCTTCATTAGCTGAACTTGTTGAGCTGATACGCGGTGGTTTTGTTTTTCCCCGCCTGCAGAAGCATCCAGCCCAAATCGGGGCGGTTGGGCAGTGTCGTCGTGAGGACACCTATCCACTGTTCAACCGCTGGGGGAAGTATATAGAACATATTGGTGCGTTTACAAACACCTCAATAACCCGTGTATCTCTACTCCTTTCGTAAGTTATCATTTCGAGCCAGATACATCTGTTTTTCATACTACGTAGAAGATAATGATATACATTGATCTTTCCACAGGCTTGCTTGCGAGTATTCTTGCCAAGTCGTATCGGAAAAATCTCCATCCCAACTATCCTGGCCTGAAGTGATTATCCTATGAGGCCGAGCCCTAGAGTCCCCTTTCGAGAATATCAACGCAAAACAACTGAAACCTAAGATCCCTGCGTGGGAGACGTGGAATATTCGCGTCTGTCACCCTTTTTGATGGTACCTGTGCCATCCGGATATATGTGGTGAGTTCGAGCTCCGCTACCGTCCGCTGGTGTGATTCGGGCGCTGATGATCAGCGCCTTGTCACTGCGGTTGAAGTGAGACTGGTGGACAGGGCTTGTGCCATCGTTACGATGCCTGCAGGAGAACTGTGAGTGAAAAAAATCATTGATGGGGAGTAATGTACTCGAGCACTTACAAAATCTCGATAGAGTCAATTTTGCCAACTTTCTGTGGCAGAATTAGTAAGGAAAAGACACCCATACAAGTTCCGATAACTAACCTTTACGGCACCGTTCTCTGCATAAATCTCGGCAGCCTGCTTGAAATTGGGTGGGAGTAATTCCTTTTTGAATCCTAACCATCTAACGATGGTCTCGCGGGCGGTAGACAAAGCTCGAGACATGGCAAAATCTTTTCGTGGGATGCTAGTGATCGAAGCTAATAAAAATCAAAGACAAGAGGTCTCTGTGTAACGATCAAGATAATGAGATTCTGAACGAGGACTTGCGAGGTTTTATATGTCGACCAGTTCCTTGAAAGCCCATGGCTATGCTATTTTCCAATGGCTCCGCTCGTATTTCTGTTCAGGGGCTTTCCTCAACTGCATCAGTTGCCGCTGAACCCATTTCCACCGTTCACATATCACATGTGCGCCAGAGGTGCGCCAGGGTTGCTCCAGGGGTGCGTCACAGTAATGTGTTATATAGACCCTAGTACGCATCTAGAGTGCAGCAAATGCGCATGTTTATCTTAAACAAAAAGGTCGAGCGGCTATATATTTGTAATTCGTACATTGTTGGTCACGGAAGGCACCTAGGCCGGTGAAGTTCGGCGGCTAAATCTGACGAACGTCGCACCTTGGGTTTCATGCAGAGAAACCGCACGGTGAGGGAGGAACTTTGTGGCGACATGCTTATTTCAGTAATTAGTTAGCACTACCCACTCGATTCTAGTGCAGCTCTTGGGAATTATTTCAAAGGTCTCACACGTCGTTGGTTATTAACTTAGTTTACTTAACTTAACGTATTTCACATGCGAGCCGCCCACCCAAGCGAGCCGCCCACCCCAAAACACCATAGTAAATGCGATATATTCTACACTTGTATCTCAACAACCACGTCTTAGTCATATTCCATTTCTTACCAATGGCTATTGGTAAGACCTATTAGCACTATGTTTCAATTTCAAGGAAATCAAAAAACCATATTATCATCATTTCAAAAATTACTGAAAATTACACTGCCATGAGCTACAAATATATATATCTCAATAACGAAGTCATAGAATTTCTTCAAGCTCACTAAAGAGGCTAGATATCGCCTCAAAAGCATTATGCTAAAATGAAAAATACCTATAGGCCATGGTTGTTGAGATATAAAGCTGTAATTTATCGCATTTACTATGGTGTTTTGGGGTGGGCGGCTCGC